TCATTCAACATCAGAAGTATTCCATCAGAAGAAAGGAAGAAAGATCTTGTGGACTCACATTTAATCAACATCTCAAAGTCCATCATAAGACAAGATCAAAGGATGATATCTTCTCAAGAAAATATACTCAACACAAGTAATATTCATTAGAAGATAAATATCATCAAAAAGACCACTGCACTCAACAGAAGAAATATTGTGACCACTTTTATAGAAACATCAGCAGTTCTAAGGAATGTTGAATGTTCATAAGAAAGGAAATAAATACAAAGATCAAGAGATCAGAAAGAAGATATTCAATGTCATATCAGATGTATTGATATAAATTGTTGCTTCAGAAATTAGACATCAGATATGCAGCTTAGAAAAGCTGATTATCAAGGAATCAATACAAGGTCAAGATCAGAAAGAAGGAACTCAATGTGAAAATCAGATGTACTGATATAAGTTGCTTCTTCAGAAATTAGACATTAGATATGAAGCTTAGAAAATCTGATTATCAAGTATCAAGACAAGATCAAGATGTAGTAGATCGGAAGAGCTTTCACCCAAAGAAGTTGTTCATTAGATAAGTTGTTGTGTGTATATCTGAAGAAAATGTTCAAATATATGAAACAGTGTGACTCTACAACAAAGAAGAATCTTCTGGATCATTACCACTCCTAAATCAGAAACAATCCAGTAAGAAGAAAATAATAAAAGCTCAAGAATTCAATGACTTGAGAATCAGATAGGTTGTTGTCATAATATCTGATTTCAAAGTACATCATCAGAAAAGCTTTTGATATCTTCACCAGAAAATCTTTCACGTACAATCAAGACTTATTTTATCAGATAGGATGATGTCGATCATTCTGAAAACAAGAATCCACTATTGAAAGCATCTGAACAGAAACATGTTCTCAACACAATATTTATCTCTCAGATCAGAAAAGTAATATGCCTTCAAGAGTAGTTCTAGATCAAAAGAAAAGCTTAGTGTTTCAGATAGGTTGCTGCCAATAATTTTGAAGACAAGATTTGGTTCTAACCACTCTGGTGTTCCTGCACTACAACAACAAAATATTTTGTGAACTACTCATCAGTCAATCATCAGAAGAACGAAGACAAGTGATTGATCTCTACCAAGCTTAATACTCCAGAATCAGAAGTACATCATAAGAAGATAAAGATCAAGAAACTTATTCATGAAGAAAATAGTACATTAGTTATACTATTCAAAGAAGTTGTTCTCCCACTGCCGTACGTTAACCACTGCAAGTAGTAGGTCTAGGAAAGTGACGTTTTGTACTATTCCAAAACCTCTCTTGAATATATTTGTTGGGGTTCAACCGTTAAAAGGAGAAAAGACTTATTTATCCTTACAACAACTCTTTTCATATGGCTATATAAGAAGACTAAACCTTCAAATTTAAAGTGACAAAAATATTGGGAAAAAAGACCATATCTAAGTCCAAACAACATTGTTGTTCTTAATAAAAAAATATCTATAATGTTGAAGAGATGAAATGAAAAAGTAAGGAGTTGTTGCTCATATCTTGCTTAATGAAGAAAGAATATGAAGAAGAATTCTACAAGATGTCATTCAAACTTCCATCATATACATCTTGGCAGAATTATTAAGAAGCAAGGAGTTGTTGCTTATAGCTTGCTCAACAAAGAAGATGAAGACAAGAAGACTTCAAGATGCTGCACTCAATTTAGATTAAATTCATCTATGTAGAAAGAATATAAAACACAAGAGTTGTTTCTCAAATTATGTTACTTCTTAAGAATATTCATATGATTTGTTTGTACACAAGAGTTGTTTCTCAGAATTGTGTCAAACAATATGTACTTAAAGTAGGAGTATGCTTGATAAGAAGCACTCATGTAATCTCCAGAAAAACAATTCTGTTTAGAATTGGTGATTCCTCGAGTGATCGAGTGAAAATCATAAGAATTGAGAAGACGATTGACTACGGTCATCGTAGATGAAATCCTATTCTAAGGAGACCAGTTTGGTCAGAATCCTTATGGGATCAATGATCGCTAACATCTCCAAGTGTACCGGGTGGATTATAAATCGTAAGAGGTCATTGGCTCAGGGTCATTATGAGAAATCCCTCATAGAAAGATTAGATTGATTAGATTTCTGATAGGCTCAATGATCGTTATATCTCATAGAGATCACTGAATGTATCATTGTGTTATTCCTCAAGTGATCGAGTGAAGATCAGAAGACTTGAGATGACAATGGTTGCGGGTCATTGTGAAATCATGTTAAAAGGACCGAGTGGGTCAGATTTCTTAAGGGGTCAATGGTTACTAATCATTATGATTGTTAGTCACCGGCGGGTAGCCCGTGCGATTGTAATCAGTTTGGTTATAGTATATTAAGTCCTTGTTGAAGGAAAAATCACCTGAGGAGGGTGGACAAGATGTAGCATAGTTAATGGTGAGCTTGGATAAACTGAATGTGTTTCTTTATATTTCTAGCATTCTATATTACTTCATAGTTTTATCAAATAGTTTTTAAAGAGAAATGTTTTGAAAACCCAATTCAAACCGCCTTTTCTTGTGTTTTTCTCTACCTTCAACTAAAACAACATCCCCATCCATTATGACCAGCAACCTCAGCATTAATATTTCCAACATTGTTTTGAACAACAACAACTTCCCTTTCATCCTGTGCATTTTGTGTGACAATATCCTCAATGAAGTTTGATACGGGCTTTTGTAAAGAAGGAGCTTGGTTTTTAGGAATTGAGGTATTGTTATGTGTTTGCATGAGCTTGCAATCTTGCACCACGTGACCTGTTTTCCTGCATTGACTACAGAAATCAGGTAAGTTTTCATACTCTATATCAACGAAGAAGGCAAAACCTTCTCTTTCCACAAACACGTTATGATTCAGAGGCATTGCTAAATCCATATCAACAAGCACTCCTACAAAGTGACCAAAAGTTTGGCCCACCCTCGATTTGGTAGAAGCAGAATCAATACAAATAAGGGTCCCGACACAACTTGCGATAGCAAATAAGACCTGGGGTCTTCAATACTCTTGAGAGAGCCCAGAGAAACGAACCCAAAATTGAGCAGAAGTGTTGTTTTGCAAAGCTGAGTTGAAATCACTTGTCCAAGCAAAAAGCTTCATAGACCTGGGTTTAGACTAATATAACCTAAATCCCTAACTCTACGCATATCTTCAACACTTGAAAATGTGAATTCATAATAGTCTTTTCCTAGAAATTGAACTCCCCAGTTTTTCACATCAGACCACATAAGAGAAAGCTTCTTTCGAAGAGCAACAATAGTGAGCAGTATGGAACCTTTTGGCCATAACACTCTGCCGTAAAGATTATTCTTACATTCATCAAGACCAACTTTGTATTCTTCCTCTGGGATGGTAATAAAAGGTTTGTCCCCTTTTATGATGAATTGAGGAAACTGCGAAGACGAAATATCACAAACCCCTTGCAGAGCTTGAGAAAACGACATCACTTGGTGTTGTTTTGGTACCTTTGAAGAAGAAGAGTGAATAGATTCATGAAATTTCGCAGGTGGAACCTTTTGGCCATAACACTTTTTCATGAAGATGATTCTTACATTCATCAAGATCAACTTTTTATTTTTTCTATGAAATGGTGATTGAAAGTTTGTCCTCTTTTATGATGGGTTAAAGAAGTTGTCAAGACGGAATATCATAAACCTTTGTAGAGCTTGAGCAAAAAAATTCACTTAGTATTATTTCGATACCTCTGAAAATGAAGAAGAGAGGATAGACTCATAAAACTTCGCAAGTGAATAATCTTGTGGAAACAAATTGGAGAAGCCCATGAAAATATCAACGGAAAAGGATTAAAAAAAAAGAAGTTAGAGTTTAGTGCCGCCACTCACGTGGACCTCTTAGTATGAAGGTAGTTTTATAACATATATATAAAGTTTAAATTCTTTCATATATAGATGTAAAATAATAGTTAATTTATTTTATTATAAAAAATTATCTTTTCCATTTTTCAAAGCCTTTAATTTATAATTGATAATTTTATTGAGTTTCAGTAAGTCAATTTTTATTTGAAGTTTTAATTAATTAATTAAAAATTATATTAAATATTAGGTTATTAAATACTCTCTTCAATATCAACAATATATATATATATATATATATATATATATATATATATATATATATATATATATATATATATATATATATATATATATATATATATATATATATATATATATATATATATATATATATATATATATATATATATATATATATATATATATATATATATATATATATATATATATATATATATATATATATATATATATATATATATATATATATATATATATATATATATATATATATATATATTAAAAAAAATATAAAAAGAAAGTTAAATTTATTTAAATTTGAGAATTGATTTAGTCAAATAAAAAAACAAATACAATTATAATTAACCCTAAAATATAACGAGTCAAGAAAAATTAACATATTTTATCTAAATTTAAGCTGAATAAATTAAATTTAATAGTTTAAACTTTTTTTATATTAAAAACCAAAAAGAATATTAAAAAGCAAAAAGACTATATTTATTCAACTTCAGTCCTAATACACTTATCTTCTACATTTGGTAACGTACCTATTCGTCTCTTTTGGAACTGGTCCCTTCCATTTATTCTAGTCATTATCATATGGACTTTTAAAAAGGCACCCACCACATAATAAATCTAGAGTATTTAAAAGAACAATCTATTTACGTAAAAATTAAAAGAGGAACTAAATTTGAATTTATATGGAAAATAATTGACATTAAAATCAATATAGAAAATATAATAATAAAACAATATTAAAAATTTTAAATGAATTATTACTTATTTATTTTACGGAAGTTCTAAATGCAACGAAAGATCTTGGTACTTGGTTCCGTAGATTAAAAATAATAGATACCAAAATAACACTTATTAATCAAATTTTAACAATAAATAAATCACACTAGAAGTCAACGGGAAACCGGCTCTTCCGGTTTATGAGCCAACTCAACAAACAAAGGTCGCAATTTATTTTTCCACAATTTCGTCCCAAGTTCATCCCCCTTTCCTCGCTTCTTCATTTCAACTACCACGTATTCATCCGTTAGCCGGTAAACCAGAACAACACCTATCAAATTACCTTCTTGCCCTTCCAATTTTGCTCCACCACAATTTTTCATTTTTGTCACAACCACCGTCGTGCCTTTCACCACCTCCTCCACCCTCTCAAGAATCCGCTCAGGTGTGTCCCTCGAAACAACCCATTCAGCTAAACCCGACCCGTTTTGATCCTCAAACAAACCCGAAATATCCAACCCGGTTGAAAACGATATCAAATCAAACGCGTTCAACGTTTTAAACCCGGTTCGACTTTCCTCCAACTCCTGTTCTTTAACTAAAACCCGGTCCAGTTTATATCCACCCGAATTAAACCAGGGGTCTTCAAGAATTTCATCAATGCTAATCCTCGTCTCAGGGTTCGTATCCAACAACCTCGATAAGAGATTCTTCAGATCACAAGAAACCCATTTCGGGAAACGAAATTGACCGCGGTAAATCTTCCGATACAGCACGGTAATATTATAATCATTGAACGGTAAATATCCCGCAGTAATAGCAAACAAAACAACGCCGCACGACCATACATCAGCTTTCGCACCGTTATACCCTTTTTTCGCGAGAATCTCCGGTGCCACGTAGGACGGTGTACCACAAACGGTGTGAAGTAAACCGTCAGGCCGGATCTGGTTTTTCACGGCGCTTAAACCGAAATCGGTTACCTTGAGATTATCATTCTCATCTAGCAAGAGATTGTCCAGTTTGAGATCGCGGTGGAAAACACCGTGAGAGTGACAGTGTTTCACGGCAGAGATAAGCTGCCGGAAGTATTTTCTAGCATGTTCTTCGGTGAGTTTGTCTTGCTTTGCTACCTCTTCGAAGAGCTCACCGGCGGAGGCCAATTCAACGATGAAGTAGATTTTGGTCTTCGACGCGAGTACTTCAAAGAGGTTGATGATGTTAGGGTGATGCAAACTACTGAGAATTGAGATCTCACGCTCAATGTTTGCTGAGAAGCCTCCATTGATGAGTTTTCTCTTGTTCATAACTTTAACTGCCACGCGCTTCCCGGTTTTGATATTTGTCGCGTGATACACCTTCGCCGACGCGCCAACTCCGAGCAATTTACCAATTTCGTATTTCTCAAACAGAACGACGCCGTTTTGTGATTCTTCTGCCATAACGATGTCGTTTTGTACCTGATATCCAACTGGTTTGAGATGGATACGGATTTGTTATGATTTAGAGTTGCCGTGGTTATTGATTATTAGTAACGTAGAAGTGCTTTTGAGAATTAATGAATAATCTTTAAAAGCACTACTTTGTTCTGAATAATAATACTAGCGGCTTGAAGTTGAAGTGTATTTGGGAGAAAGAAAAGGAAGAGTAATAAGCTATGTGTGTAGTTGTTATGAGTTGTATATGGATGCTATTTAAAGATAATCGATTCTACTTTGGATCATGTTTTGAATGTGCGACAATATAGGTTGATTTGTTATGTTTAATTTTCTTAGCTTTTTAAGCGGAAACAAACAGAAGTGGTGTTGTGACGTGAAACAGTAATAATCGCTTTTGTGTACAGTAAGAGTGTTAGAGATTAAAGTACCGCGTTGGAGAATTATTAAGGACAAAAACAGGTTGGAATGGATGAGACCCGTAGAGAGATATGGTCAATGAATATAGTAGTAGCCAAACAAAGCTTTATTTTGATGATGTGAACTGTGAAGGGGATTCGTGAAACTGAGTGGTTAGTGGTGACCACTTTATCAAGGGTGAATATACGATTATGCCACTCTATCTATATCCTTATACCAAAGTCATGTTATATTCCAAACTAACCTTTTCATTTTCTGTTATCAATACTTCTCAATTTATTTTTTTTCAAAAAAAATATATACTTCTCAAATTATATTTTTTAAGATTGTATTTATTTATCTCTTAAATTATAAATATAACACTCCCTCCATTTTCCTTTATAAACAAATTTTAATTTTTTAGATTTATTGATTAAATTATGTATTTGAACTATTTATAAATTAGATAGATCAATTATTTAATAAATTTTAAAAGTTGAAATTTGCTTATAAAAAAATAATGAAGGGAGTATAGTTTTACTGTAGAGAATTTCTTACCCACATCCATATAGAAAAGGGATATCTTATGCAATTTCGAAATTGTCTCTCGAAAAATGGAAATATATTTCTGGTTCACAACATATTTTATACAAAATAGATCAAGTATGATTTCACCTTTCAAAATGCAAAAAACGGTACCGAAGATATACTTTCGGTTGTAAACCAGAATTATATTTCTGATTCTATTAGCGGAAAGATTGAATTTTGTTGCCACCTTAATATTTTATATATAATCAGAAGTATAATTTTGGTTTTATGGACAATGCAGGTTACTTAAAACAGCAACCAGTATGGTATTGTTTGATCACCATCATTTCTTCTTTCTTTTCTTAAAACATCTCAAAAACCCTCATCATTCTCAATCAATTTTCCACTCCAAATCATCATTTTTATGGTTCACCATATCAGAAGGAGCTCAAGAAAGTAGAATTTCAGGTAAAGTTTATTCATTTCAACTCATATTCTCTACATTAATATGTTGTTTTCTGTGGAAAAACGTTACGTACAAACCGAATGTATACTTCCGGTAGTTAGTTGAACAAAATCGGGAGTTAACTTTCGATTTCTGTCTGTGTTTATTTTGACAGCAATCTACCAATGTGGCATGTTAATAAATTTTGTGTTTTATCTAACTTTAAGTATGGTGCACCCCGATAACATTTATAAATCTGATGTGTCTCAAGTTGTTTCGTCTCTCAGTTTCTCCTCTCGTAATTAAGGTGGTAGATATTCGTGAGTGTAAAGCCCAATATTTAATTAATTATTTAATTAAATATTTTCGAATATATTTTCGATTAAATTTTCAAAATTGTGAAATATTGATTTAAGTTGTGTCGTTCTTAGTTGAATTAGTTAGTTGATTGAATTGTATGATTAATATTGAATAGTACTATTATTATTTATGTGAGTTTATTTTAATGTTAGAAGTAGTAGAAAGAGAGGTGGAATGATTTAAGCTCGATAAGAATAATAGTATAGTAGTTATATTATATTAGAATGATAATAATATTATATTAGTTATTTTAGAATAATAAGGAGTAGAAGTAGCAGTAAGAGGAGAAAGAAGAAGAGAAAAAAATAGGTTTTGGAAAAAGAGGAAATAAGGGTTTTAGAAGAGATACCTAGAAGCGTAAAAAGGAGACAAAACTAAGTGTAATGGGAGAGTTCGAGCAACCTTAAATTCAATGTAAGAGTTGAGTTCTGACTCTATAATAGGGTATGTGATGAATGATATGTGAGATTGAGTTGTAAAATTGTTTGTTTGTGTTTGAAATTTATATATTGTTAAAATTGAAAGATGATTGAGAATCCAATTTAATATATAGACACTATAGTACACGTAGAAATTAAATAGGATTAACACTGTAGCGGCATTAACATATGTATATACACTAGCGATTTTCATTCTTTCACTTATATACATGGTTTTGTGAATAGGTGTATATATGTACTGAGGTGTATATATGTACTGTAGCGCTATTTTTTTTCCCCAATTTCTATGTGTATATATTCCATCATTTACATTATTATTATTGCAGCATCACTTTACGTTATTATATTGCAGCTTCACTTTATAACAATTGTAAGCGGTGCTATGAGTTAAATTGGATATAACAATTGGTATGTACTGTTGCGGTACATTATGAATTAATTTGAGAATCGCGTTTCAAGTTTATAATATATGATGTTTCATTAATAAATAATTATAATAAGAAGAATAATTTAAGACTAATAATATAATATTTTTTAGGAGTTTTAGAATTAGAGATGAGAAATTAAGTTAATTTTAATTTTGTTAGAATTGTCAATAGAGTTATTAGAGTTGCTAATAGAGTTATTGATAGAGTTGCTAATAAAATTGTCAGAGTTGTTTTGAATTATTATGAGTCATATTTTATTTGTTTTGCGTAATTCCGACATGTTTAGAGTTGTCACTAGGATAAGTTAGAGTTTCCAATTAATATATATATATATATATATATACTATCTTACTGTAGAAAAATTAAGTGCTAAGTGATATTATATTATAGTTATATATGATAGATCAAGTTGAGAATCATATATATATATATATATATATATATATATATATATATATATATATATATATATATATATATATATATATATATATATATATATATATATATATATATATATATATATATATATATATAATGTTTCATTAGTAAATTATATTAAATAATAATCATAATAATTTAGAATTATTAGTATAATAATATTGTAGAAGTTTTGTAAGTAGAAATAATAGAACTTTTAGTTGATAATTAATTAATCAGAAATAGTCGTAATAGTCCGAATAATTAAGCAGTTTATTTGTAGTAAATTTTGGTTGACTCGTTGTATTGTGTTCTTTGTTGAAAAGTGTGAATTAACAGGTGATGTTATTGCCTCTATTTATAGGCAAAATATTAAGTTGTAGGCCTATGGTCAATGCTGATTTGTTATTGTGTTACTATGTAACTATTATTGTCGTTATTCTAACATTCATATTGTGTCGCATACATAGCATATCAAGTTGGAGCTGATGCTCGGTAAGCTGGCGTGGATTGGCAAATTAAGTTTAAGGCTTATGCCTTGTTGATGCCTCTATTAATTGGAAGATTTTTAAGTTGGAAGTTCTGCTCCAATGGTACCACACGCATGTGCATTGTAATTGAGTCGTATTTTATGTTGCATCCTTGAGTTGTGGTGATGAGATATTAATTGTTGCTTTATGTTGTTGATTTGTTGTGACAGGTATCGTGAATTAGTCGTTATATCGTGTTGATGTTTTGTCGAGATTAAAGTTGTTTGAAAATTGTGATGTGATTTTATATGAATTGATTCTGATATATTAATTATCATACATTCTGTTATATCGTTAGATATCTCACCCCTTTTGTTTGAATATTGTCCTCTGTTGGTAACAGGCAGGTAATCAAGAAGGATAGTTGTTACCTTTGTTAGTTTGAGTCAGTGTTGTCGCTCTGATACGTAGCACTCGGGGGGTGAACGCTTGATATTTAGTTGTTGATTATTATTTCAGTTGCTGAATTTTTAATTTGATTACATGAAATAAATGTTGTCTTAAGGTTGTTTTAGTTGAATAAAATATGTTAAATGAATTGAAGTTGAGTATGTAGATTCCGCTGCTTATCAATAAAAAGTTATTTGATTTTAAAGAATAAATCAGATTGTTATCGGTTCATCTGAAATAAGCGTTATGTATCTGTTTTATATGCGATTAAATGAAGTTTGATTTTAAGTTGAAAAATGTAACATCCTATTTATGTTGAACTCTGATTATATTATTATCCGCCGGGTATAAATGGGGTGTTACAGTGAGCAATTTGAAAATATAGAAGAATATGAATTACGTGAAGACATGTTGCATTGGATTCGTATAGAGGTTACAAAACTAAGATTTGGTGTTGTGATTGGAAGGTCCGATAATGGTCCAGATAGAAGAAATTCATTTGTGATTTTGACATACGAAAGAAGTGGGAAATACATATGTTGTATCCAAAATTTGAAACGCGACGACACCAGTTCAAGAAAATGTGAATGTCCATTTAGGTTAGGTGTGGGACAAAACAAGTTGCAGGTGAAGATGGAAAAAACAGGTTGCAGGTGAAGATGGAAAATTGGTCAAGGTGGGCGTCATTGTGGAGAAAACTATGGATGCATAAAATGTTATAATAAATGCATCTACAAAAGAGCTATACGCTAATATTGTTTTACAGTTCAGGAATGTTTATAAGAAATATCCCGATCTATTGAAATATGTTGAAAGCAGGATTCTTGATCAAGTTAAGGAGAAGGTTGTTTGTGCCTGGACCGATCAGGTTATGCACATCAGTAATACAACAACAAACCGAATTGAGTCTGTGCATGCATGTCTGAAGAATTGGATGGGAAATAACAAGGGTGATTTGATTACGGGTTAGGAATTTGTGAACCAGATGCTACTAACCCAACATAACAAGATACATACAACATTTGGTCGTAGTATCACGGTGTTGGAACACAAGTTCAAAGACAAC